GTCTGTTTACCTCTAGCGCAATTTCTTTCAGTGCCTTTTCAAATTCATAATTTGATTTTGATGTCGGTGGCTCAATGCAGCAAAAGTAGACAGGATCAGGGCTATCAATACCTGTAGGGCCTTATTTCGAAAGCTAATCCAAGATATGAATTGTACCGATTACGCTCATTTTATCAGCCATGTGATAAAGCGAACAGTACCTTTGAGCGCTACATTCTGTCCATCGCCAACAATTTCTATGTCAAGAGGATCCCCATTCGTCTCAGTAGCTACAATGTTGTGCGCTTCCTTACGATGTGTATCATGTTGCATCTTCTCGAGATTTTTCAATTCATGCCTCGCATGGGCAGCATGATGTCCCACTGCTTCACTAAACAGTAAACTGAACTAATTACAGCTCTAAAATTCTTTAAAGTCAATGAGCAATGAGATTAATGATGACTATCACAAAGTGAAGTTCAAGATTAAACCTTGCTAGAAGGGTGTCACCAGTCAATGCGCTAGAGAGTCCGGTTACTACAGCAATGTTACCCTGGGTAACACTTGTAACTGGTATGAGCTCGCTGCTTTGAGCCAAGAAAAGCTGAAAGCATTGGAACTACGTCATATCATCGAATCAATCTAAACAAAAGCATTTCTGAAGTAGCATGAAGTTGGGCATACCTTTATTGGTCCTTCGCTTATTCCTCGGCTAGAATTGAAAAGTACAGAATTGCTAGTTAATGTTCCAGTATACACTCGTATGTAGCTAAGTTTTCCTTTGCGTTTGTCATGTCCAATCCGAAATATGATACTACACTTACAGTAAAATGTATCCTCAAGACAGTCAATGCGCATTTGAACTACTCACCTTAAAGACCAGCCCACAGAGTTCATCACCAAAGAACTTTGTCAAAGATACATTCCTTTCCATTGGTGAAGGTAAAAACTGTACGGTGTAGTCCAACACTGGTTGCACTGATGCGGGGCATCGGAGAGCGCTTCCGCAACCGATAGAAGCTCCGCGGTTTGACAGTGTAATTTCACGCAAAGCTGGAAAAGGTAGTTGCAAGCATGAAAGTTTCCAGAAACGGCGAACAAAACTTTCGAAATAGTGCAAACCCTTTGCTATTGATGCTGAAGGTACAACCATAGGATCCCCGTTATGCTGCTCAAGAAATAAAGACATAAATTCAGAGTTTAACTCAGCTAACTGACAACAAAGGTCCTCACGGCCTGCCCGAAGAACATCTCCAGGAATCGAA